GGGCCGGGCGCGGGGCTGGGCGCGCGTGGAGCCGCCTGGAAGCTGAAGGCCGGGCCGCCCGCGCCGTCCTGCGGAGACATGGGGCTCACGGCCACCGAGACACAGGCCTGCGAGCCCGCCTGTGTGCCCGCGTCCTCGCGCGGCGGCGGGAGGGCGCTCGCCTCCCACGACGGCGCTTTGGTGAAGTTGTCGCGAGTCCGCGGCCCGGACGGGGGCGCTGTGGACTCGGGGCCAGGGCTCTTCGCGGCCCTAGCGACCGCCGGGTCTTTCGGACCAAGGTTGGACGCCTCGGTGCGGGGCGCGGGCTCTGGCTCTGTGCGGCCCCCGCCGCTCCCCACACCCTCGGGAGAAGGGGCTGCGCCGCCGGGTTTATCTGCCTGCCTGAAGGAGGAGGCCTCGGCTTTCTCCAGAGTCATGGGGGCCACCTTCCCCAAGGTTGGGGGCTCTGCTTTTCTCGGAGATGGAAACGCTGAGGGTGCCTTCCCCAGGGCCACGGAAGCTATTTTCCTGGCCTCTGCTTTTCCTGATGACGCTGGGGCTTCTTTCCCAGGGGGCTTCGGTTCTGCTTTGCCCTCAGTCGTCAGCTCTGCTTTTCCTGAGGGACTGGGTTCCACTTTCCTGGAGTTCACAGGATTCCCTTTCTCTGGAGGCGGAGGATCCACCTTTCTCTCTGGGACAGCTTCTGCTTTTCCTGAGGACATGGGATCCCCCTTTCCCAAGGACACAAGGGCTGTTTTTCCTGGAGTTGTGGGGTCCACCTTTCCTGAAGACACAGAGTCCACTTCTCTAGAGGGGCCAGCTTCTGCCTCCCCCCTGGTCTTCATAGGGTCCACCTTGCCCAAAGCCAGGGACTCAGCCTTCCCAGAGGCCACAGGGTCTGCCTTCTCCAAGGACAGTGGTCCCACTTCCCCCCTAGTCACTGCCTCAGGTTTTACTGAAGACGGGAGCCCTATAGTCCCCAAGGACTTGGGATCCCCTGGACCTGAGGACAAGGGGTCTTTCTTCTCTAAAGATTCAGGATTCACTTTTCTGGAAGATGCTATATTTCCCACAGAAATGGGATCCACCTTCCTGAAGCACAAAGGGGCCTCTTTTCCTAAGGATGCAGTTTCTGTCTTTTCCACAGATACAGGCTCAGAAGACAAGGACTCTGGTTTTCCTGAGGACACAGGACCCACCTTTCCCAAGGCAACAGAACCTACCTTATCTGAAGACACAGGCTCCACATTTTTCAAAGATGTGGGATCCATCTTTCCTGAAAACACAGGATCCATCTGCCCAGCAGATACAGTTTTCATCATTCTCACAGATATAGGATCCACCTTTCCTGAGGAGGCAGGATCCATCTTTCCCAGGAACTTGGGGTCCTCTTTTGTGGAGGACACAATTTCTGCATTTCCCTTAGACATAAGATCTGCCATTCCCAAGCCTGTAGGATCGCCCCTTCCTAAGGATCTAGGTTCCACTGTTCCAGATAATACAGGTTCTGTCTTGCCTGAGGATCCTAGAGTCAGCTTTCCCAAGGACCCAGGATCTATCTTTTCTGCAGATGCAGAAACTATGTTTTCCAAGGACATGGGATCCACCTTTCCTAAGGATGCAGGACCCACCTTTTCTGAGGACACAGGGTGCCCTTTTCCTGAGCACCCAGGATACTCCTTTCTTGGGAACACAGGCTCCACTTTGTCCATGGACACAGGATCCACCTTTCTCAAAGACTCAGGGTCCTCCTTCCTTGGGGACACTGTATTCACTTTGCTAGAGGACATACGATCCTCTTTTCCCAAGGATCCAGGATCCATCTTTCCAGAAGACACACAATCCCCTTTTCCCAGGGTGACAGGCTCTGTCTGTCCTATAACTATGGGATCTGTCTTCCTTGAGGACCCAGCATCTTCCTTTGAAGTAGAAATGAAATCTGCCTTCTCTGAAGACTTGGAATCCATCTTTTCCAAGAACACAGGACTTCTGTTCTCTGAAGATGCGGGATCAGTTTTCACTGAGGACACAGGCTCTGCCTTCAAAACCCCTGACTTCCCAGAGAAGGTGGCTTCTGGTGTCCCTGAGATTGAGGCTTCATGTATCCCCAATGTCCCCTTGGTGGCTGCCTCTTGGGGAGGGATGCAGGTTTGGGAGGGGCAGGCCAAGCTCTCAACAGGGCCCTTGGACCAGGAGGCCCCTTCCCCAGCCCCACTGGGGCTGCTGTGTCTGGAGTCCATGCCTGGGCTTCGGTCAGGGGTGTGCCTGGGGGGTACTGGGTTGGCCTTTTGCTGGGAGGGGCAGCAGTCCCTCATGGCTGGGCCACCAGCCCCCAGGCTCCCATCCTGTGGGCAAGAGAGGGCTGTGGGCTGCAGTCCTGGGAGGCTGGGGTCCTTTGAAGCAGCTGGAGCCAGGCTGGGTCTTCAGCACAGCCTATCTGCTCTCATGACCATGCTGGGGCACACGGCTGTTACCTGGTTCTGAAACACAGAGAGAGCAGACTCAGACTCAGGGGAGACTCAGTAGGGAAGAAGCCTCCTCCTTCTTGGAAGGAGATTGCCAGAAGGCCGATTCTACTTCTACAGGCCCTCCTAGCAGCAGGGCCTCCTCACTGGGTTCTCTGCCACTGTTTTGAGTTCTTCTTGTTCAGTGAACCTAGGCTAAAAACATAGATCCAACCATGTCACTGCTTCCAGTGGCCCTCCGGATAAAGGGCAGACTTCTTAAAATGGCATTCAAGATCCTTTACAACTTGGCCTCAGCCTAACTTTTCAACTTCATTTACCATTGCCTTTCCCTTAACAGCCCCATCCCATGCACAGGCTACCCAGAAGTTATGCTTTTGCCCTTCTAGGCCAGAGGCCACAAACTCTGAGGCCATGGGGGTCACGTAGGTAACTTAAGTGAGGGAAGTGGGCTGAGTATAAGAGGGAGTGGTGGGGACTGTGGCAAATCAGAGAACACATACCTTGTCTAAAGGGGAAGCCACTACTCAACCTGGCCAAGTGCTGCTGTGGGGAAATGTGGATCTAGTAGTACCAGCTTTTCTAGTTTCTCAAGAGAAGTGGGAAATCCATAATTTTAATGAAAAGAAATTCTACTTAATTCAAGTGAAAAACAAACAACACTATGCTGGCCAAACAAAAGATGTCTGTAGGCCCTGGGGAGCCATGAAGTTTATAGTCAAGGAAGGGACGTAGTCAGATGTGTGTGTTTTCAAAGATTGCTCTGGGATGGCGTGGAGGCTGGGAAGAAGGAAGAGGGGCCGGCCAAGACCTCTGAGGAGGCTGTTCAATCATTCACTCATTCAGCTAGCACCTTCTCTGTTACAGGCCCTGAGCAGTTGCAATAGTCTAGAAGACAGCCAGTGCAGGAGAGGTCCTGGGGATGGAGAGCTGGGGGTCAAACTGAAGGACTGGAGGGAAACTGTCAGGAAACCAACTGGCTGTGGGGGGTGAGGGAGGATTCTGGTTAGGGTAGGGGTTGCTGGTGATGGTGTTGGGTAGGAGATCTGGAGGAGGCGGAGTTCCACTTTGGACAAGCTGAGTTTGTGGTGCCTGAGGAAATCCAGGAGGAGGGTCCAGAAGGTAGCTGGAGCTGCAGGCTCCCCTCTTCCATTTGCCACTCAGCAGCCAAGGTGAGCAGAGCTCCTGGTTCCCCTAAACCTGCTCTTCCCAAAGCCATCTCTCTAGTGCTCAGGTCAACATCCCAAGAGTCACCCTTGACTTTCTCTCACACCCCATGTCCCATTCACCAGCAAAATGTAATGGTCGTACCTTCAGAATATATCCAGAAGCTGGTCACTACCCTGGGCCAAGCCCCCATTACCTCTCACCTGGATAATCCCTGCCTTTCTCTTCACCCCTACAGTTAACTTTCAACAGGGCAGTGAGAGTGAGCTTAGTAAAACCCAAGTCAGATCATGTCCCTCCTCCACTCAGGACCAAACAGTGTCTCCATAGCTTGCTCAAAGTAAAAGCAAACTTTACAGTGGCCCACAAGACCCTGCATTTTCTGGGCCCATTACCTCTCTTGACCTTGCCTTCTATGGCTCTTCCTCTCCATTAAGCGGCTTCAGCTACACTGGCCGTCTCACTGATCCCTGAACACGCCCTGCCTCGGAGCCTTTGCACTGCCTGTTTCCTCTGCCTAGAATGTTTTCCCTCCAGATATCTTCATGGTTTGTTCCCTGAGACTTCTCATCCTGTATAAGGCCTCCTCTCCCACCCTGGCTGGCACTGTCCATAGCCCTTGTCCTACTTCATTTTTCTTCATAGAACCTGTCATCAGCCGACATGTTATGTAAATTTGTTTCTTGTTTATGGTTTGTCTCTGCAGTTAAAATGTCAGCTCCAGGAGGGTGGGGAGTTTGCTGTGTTCACTAATGTATCCCCCGAGTCTAGAACAATGACTGGCATGCAGTAAGGAAGCTCCCAATCAATACTTGTTCAATGAATGACTGAATGATCTTTCTAAGATGTAGATCCAATCATGTCCCTCCCCTGCTCAAAACCCTCCTCACTCTTGCTGGGGAAGTAAATCGGTTGTAATCTTTTGGGAATCGGTTTCCATCAACGTTTATAATGCAGATAGCATTTAAGCCAGCAAGTCCACCTCCAGGAAGGATCCTGAAGATGGCCAGTGGTAAGGCAGGGGTGCACGAGGGCATGGCTGGTGATGAAGACAACCAGGGACGGGTTACATGAAACGCAGACATCCACACGCAACACCACACAGCTGTGAGAATGCACAGAGTGATGAGGAGAGATGTCCAAGATAAATTAAGTGACAAAAGGCAGGGGATGGTGTCACCTGGGGCTTGAGCAGCTGCACAGGGGTATCAAAGACAATGATACCCTGAGAGCACAGGAAGTCTAGAAATGTACTTCACATAAAATAAAAAAGAAAACCAGCTGCTGTTGAGTTGATTCCTACTCACGGCGACCCCATGTGTGTCAGAGTAGAACTGCTCCACAGGGTTTTCAATGGCTGATTTTTTGGAAGTAGATCACCAGGCCTTTCTTCTGAGGCACCTCTGGGTGGACTCAAACCTCCAACCTTTTGGTTAGCAGCTTAGTTCTTAACCATTTGTACCACCCTTATTTTGTACCACTCCTTATTTCACATAGGCAGGCAAAAAAATTTTAAGGCTAAAAAGGCTAAACCAGTTAGCGTGAATTTTAAGAAGATACATATTGTGAATGAGGAAGAAGTTAACTGAGTAAATTAGGCTTTTGTAGATATACAAAAGAAACGTGCACACTTCTCAAAACCCCTTTCCTTTGAGCTTTTGCAGAAACAGCTGATTCTTCAGTAGCATCATGAAAACAAACCAGTTAATGTTGATGAAGCTGTAAGATTAATGGCTCAGTTGTAATACAGTGGTGATACATCAAGTTTCAAAAAAAAAAAAAAAAAAAAAGCCCCCAAACCAATAAATTAAGTGTTTAATACCCCCCCCAAAAAGCCAGAGGGCAAATGCTCTTAGGATCCCAAGCATGTAGCCAAGAAAAAGGACAGACACACATTTATGGGTTTACGTATAAAGAGAAAAATTCTGGAAGGAAATCCATGGAACTTTTAGCAGTGATTGCCTCTGGGAAGTGAGACTTTTCTTTGTATGCCCTTTTGTGATGTCTGCTTTTTGGTTATGTGTGCATGTACTACTTTTTAAAAAGTGAAGAAGAAAAAAAATAAGACAGACCTCAAACACTTAAGACTCCCTATTACCTTTAGGGCAAAGTCCAACTCTTTAATGTGCTTCCAAGCCCCTCTGTACCAACTACTTACCTGCTGGGCTTTATCTTTGATTACCCATTTCCACTCCCAAAGCAGGTGTGCATACACATGAACGTGCACACACACACTCACACACGGACACGTGTGCATGACCCCTCTGGGTTCATCCAAGCCTTCATATTCTCTCCCTTCTCAGTCTCCAAGAACACCCACCCTGTGCTGGAGGAGTTTTTCCTTCCCTCCTTGCCTGGCTATCTCTTACTGAGCCTTCAGGTCTCAGTTTAAACACTGCCTCCTCCAGTGAGCCTTCTGGGCTTACCAGCCTCCTTTGGGTTCCCATGGCCCCTTGTTCCTTCCCTAACCAGACTCATGCCACCCCGCATGTAGCTATTTGTACCTCTGGGTCCCCCACTAGACCTCGGGTCCTTGGATAGCGACTCAGTGATACTGTCAACCACTGGGTCCTCCAGGCTTTGGCCTTATGGGACTTGGGGGGATGGGACTATCACCAAGATGGGGACATGGGAGGAGGGGCAGGTTTGCAGAGGATGGTGGGGCATTGGGTTTTGGGAAGCTGAACTGAGATGCCTGTGGGACTTGCAGAGGGGGATGTCCAGGAGGCAGCAGGGAGGCAGGTCTGAAGCACAGGAGAGTGTATCTGGTTTTCATCAGCACAAAAATGAGGAGTGAGAAGCTCAATGTTTCCCATGGGTCATGCAGCCATCAGACTGCAGTGGCATAGACTGGGCTCATCTTCATTTTTCGCCTTGTGATAGTGATATGGACACAGATACACATTTCCTCCCATAAGAAAAACATCAGAGCAAGCAAGATGATCAAAGACTCCTGACATCTTCAGAGTCAGGGAGACAGGAGGGAGTGGTGGGGACTGTGGCAAACTGTTCCCTTCTAAAGGGGCAGCTGCACTCAGTTCCTGCTGATTTTGGCCAAGTAGGAATTTATCCATTAATTCAACATTTATTAAACACCTATGCAATGTTCTAGCCATTGTTCTCAGTACTGGGGATACAGCAGTGAAAACAAGTAAGCAAATAAATAATTTAAAATCATAGATGCTGTGAAACAAAGGAGGGGGCAGCTGGTTTAGATAAGGTGGTCAAAGAAGGCGCCTCTGAGGGTAACCTCTAAGCCAGCCATAGAGAGGCCTTCTAGTGGCTGGAGTGGAGGTGGAAGGGAGAGAAGGAAAAGGGGAGGCAGGCGAGGGAGGAGAGTGGGAGAAGAGAGCTCTTCAGGCCAGATCACATGGGGCCAGAGGGGAGGAATCAGGGTTTATCCTGAGGGTACTGGGAAACCCGGAGTGTTTTAAGCAGGGAAGTGAATGTGGCCCCCTCGTGGCCATGTCTCCTAATTTCTAAAACAAAGTCATAAACCTGGATTTTTCTGTATTTTAAATATTGTCTCATTTTTTTAATACCATGTAGACCAAACAAAACGCTTTTATGGGCCAGCTTTGACCCCTAGTTCCCCTGCTTGCAACCTCTGGTCCTTGGGGCTGTGGGAGAGGACACCATAAATCAGAGGCAGCAGGCAAGAGAAAAAGCCCAGGTTCCAATGAGGGCTGGAGCTGGAAGGGGTCACCCAAGTGGCCCACCTTGAGGTCCCCACACACTAGGCCCCTCCCACAAGCTCCCTCCCTGTGGGTGAGGCCTGGGTCTGGAGCAGGAGCTCCAGGAGCAGGAAGTCAGGACCTCCTACACTGGCTGCATGACCTCTGGCAAGGCCCTTCCCCTCCCTGGGGACCCTGACAAGACCACCCCCTTCCCCCACAGGGCTGCTGTGGGAATTAAAGAAAATGAGGGGTGTGTGAGGCTCTGCTCACTTTAAGGCTGGGCTGTGTACAGGAAGGCCTGTTTTTATCTACTCAGCCTGTCAGAGCCCAGCTGTGCTCCCAGAAGGGGGCAGGGGAGGGCGGGCCGATAGCAGAGGCACCAACCAACAAAACCTAGCCCTCAGACAGGCTAGTTGGACCCAGAGTGCTGGAAAAAAAAAACAAAACAGAGAAATTAATTTATGAGCATTTAAAAATCAGAAGATTTCATGTGAGAATCAGATTTCCAGCTTCTGTTGGAAAACTAAGACGTGGCCACCCTGAACGGGTATCCTGCCTGGCAACAGTCATCTGTAGCTGAGTGACGGCAGCCTTATGAGAGGGGTGCGTGCTTTCCTATTAGCCGAAATCTCCACCCCTCCCTATGGTGTCCCAGACACTGAGGGGCACTGAGGTGTTCTGCTGCCATTGATCGCTGAACTTGCACTGTTGTTTTCCTTACAGCCAGTGCCCCATGTATGCTGTCCTCCTGGCCTGCAACCACCTGAGTTTTTGACTCTTGGCCTTGATGCTAAGGTGGGAGGTGACTTCACACATGTCCAGCCCTTACTACGTGCAGAACCCATACACCGGCCAGAGAATAAAGCCAAACTAGTTGCCGTAGTCAACTCCTACCCATGGTGACCCCGTATGTGCAGAGCAGAACTGCACTCCCTAGGGTTTTCAAGGCTGTGACCTTTCAGAAGCAGATCGCCAAGCCTTTCTTCCAAGGCACCTCTGGGTAGGTTTGAACCGTCAACCTTGCCGTTAGCAGTCAAGTGCTTAACCATTTGTACTACCCAGCGACTCCTACACCTGCCAGGTGGGTACTGAATTCCTATTTTCAAGTTGGAAAATGAGACGTTCTGAGAGGCAGGCATGTCCCAGCTGATAGCATGCCTCTTCTGGAAGCTTCCCTGGAAGAGGCCAGCTTCCCCAGGCTTGCGGTTCTCAGCCTCTGATGTGGGATAAGGCCCGGGGTAGGGACAGAGCTGGCCAGGGAGTTTGATAGATCTGGCATCAAGCCCTAGCTTGGTCACTGACTTGCTCTGTGACTTTGGGTGAATTTTTCTACATTCTGGGCCTCAGTTTCCCAATCCATGAAATGGGAAAATATAGTTATATCTGGAAGAGCTGGTCCAGCCCTGGATTTAAGTTCTATTCAGAGAACATCCCCAGAGGCTCTGTTGTTTGCTTCTGCAGGGCCCTTCCCAGCTCCTGAGGAGGCCTCAGTATCCTCCAGGCCCTTCTCAAAGAGGCAGCCTAGCCCTGGGGCCTCACCTCCTCACCCCAACCTCTCCCTAGAACTCAGCTCACTCTCCTACTATGTGCTTAGGACTGGGCCCAGCATTCTCAGGCTCATTTTTTCAAATCGTGAGGGAGACATTATCATCCCATTTTACAGATGAGGACACTGAGGGTCAGAGGGGAAAAAAGACTTTACCAAGGACACACAGCTGGGGAAGGGGTGACTGGCATTCAAAGCCAGCTGTGTCTGAACCCAAAGCTCAGGTTCTTCTCACCTGTATCAGCTAAGATTTTGGACACCAATGCTTAGCTCATAAAACCCCTTTCTGCTCTTTGGGGTCAGGCCAAGGGGCCTCCTGATCCCTTGGACGCCATAGGCAATAGCGCCAGGGAGAGGACGCAAGAATGTTTCTGCATGCACACATCCACGTGCAGGTACACGCACACCCCTGGAAACAGATGTTTTACACATGTGTGTAGGCCAGCCCACCTGGGCATGCAGAGGCATGTCAGAAGGCTTGTGGATGTCTGTGCAGTGTAGGCCAGCCTGGGGAGCCAGGACCTGGCCGTGTCCTGCTCAAGAACAGCTTGGTGTCCACACGTGCAACCTGTATGTGCAGACTGGCCTGTGTGTGTGTCCTTTGTGGGGACCACTTGGACCTTGTGGGTGTGCACATGTGCACATGGCCTCACAGTCTCAATCATGAGAGAGCTGGCCTGGGGGTGTGCACAGGTGGGTGCGCTCCGTTACCAGGCAGAACAGTCCTGGTGAATAACCATTCAGGGCACGGAGACCCAGCTATCCCATTCCCTTCCCTCTAGGATTTCTTCCTACTGCAGAGCCATTGCCACCCCCAATCAGGGCCAAGGCTGCCAGTGTCTGCAAACACCTCCTCCCATGGTGACAAGACCAACAAAGGCTTGTGAGGCTTCGGCAGGTGTGTGTGCTTGTGTGTGTCTGACAATCCCCATCCGCCTGTCCCTTGTACCTCTGCCCCTAGTATCCTCAGAGCAGCAATGTCTCCTGCCTGGGGCTGAAGGGCAAGGAGGAATCTAGCAAGGGAGATAGCCAGGCCTTCCAGAAACAGCCCCAGACCATCCATCCAGGAGTGGATGTGTAGGGGTGTGCATACTTGGGCTGGGTGGGGGTGAGGGTGAGCTAGGAGACAGAGTGTGTGTGACAGTGAGAATGTGCACATGTGTAACAGCCTGCTCCAGGGTCTAGGGGTACATAAGGGACGCCATGAGCAGGGTGGCTGCAGGTGTGTTGTGATCACTGGGTACTGGTGAAATAGAATGTGGTATGCTCAACGATGGTTGATGTGAGTGCGTTGCTGTGCCTGGCTGTGTACGTGAGACTCCCGCACAGCGTACTGGAAGGTGCACAGGTGGCTGTGTGTATGTCTAATGGAATGACCAAGGGCCACACTGTGTGTGTATGTATCTGTGGTTTCCGCCAGGAGTGAGGCACCCATGCGTGGACGCGGTGTGTGTCAGCATGCGTGACAGTGCCCGAGTGTGTGCCACACTGGGTGTGTGATGGCGAGTGTGCTCAGTGGTGCGAGTGGAACCATTCCAGCGCCCAGCTCACTCCAGGGGAAGATGAATCAACGCGGCAGACCACCACTACCCTCCCCCCGCCACCGTGCCGGGCAGCGCCCCCTCTTGTCCGGCCGTGCTGAACAAAGCGGCCGCCGGCGGCGAGGCCGGGCGCAGGGCCCCGGCCCAACACACAGAGAGGCCTGGCCTCCAGGGCCTCTGGGGTGTCCGGGCCGGGGCTGCGGGACTCGCCCCCGCCCCGCCCCGCCCCGCTCGGGCAAGGAGCTTGGAAATGGACACCCACCGCCCCCCGGCGCGCGCGCACACACCTGGGCGCACGCCACGCGCGGGACCGAAGCCCGGCCGCGGAGGCGGTTCGAGGACCCCGGACAGCGGCTCCCGGCGGGCCACGAGCGGAGGAAGGGATCGACACCGCCTGCCCGGAAGGGCAGCAGGTGCCGGCGCGGCGCTTACCCGGGCCGTGAGCCGCTCCTGCTCCTCGGCATGCTGCGCTCTGGCTCCTGGCACCCGCTGCCGCCGCCAGAGCAGCCTCTGCTGCCTCCCGCCCGACTGGCGGGCGGACCCGCGGACTCCGCGCCGCCGTCCCCC